CGCTTGTCCATTTGCTTCACAAGCATCTCGGTAAAGTTTGCAACCACCTCCCTCCCTGTGTTTGTGGGTGCACAGCCTGCGACAGGACGCTGTGTTTGTACTGGACAGAAGCAAAACTCTCACACCATGAGAGGAAACATATGTGATACCTGACGACGCCTTCCAGCAAGCTTTGAAACTTTAGTCACTCACCATGCCAAAGGATTTTGTGCAAATTAAAGTCAGACACGGCAGATAAGGACAATTACAAAAACATTGACTGAAGTTGAGTGTGGCAGTGAAAGATTTAAGGGCATGACAGCTAGGGGAAAAATGATAGCTAGGGGAAAAAATGCAGGGCTGCCTCTACTGATGGGAAAAGCAATCAGCAATCATTCTCCTTGGTGTGGGTGGGACATATTTAGACAGATGCACAGCATGGTGGGTTTGGGCCAATTAAAGATGGCAGGCATAAGGGAGGAGGGTGCAGGATGAAGTGGGAGTGGCATCTCCAGAAGTTCCTTGCAACCCCTCTGCAAGACTGCTAAACCCATGTTCAGAAATAATCTGGATGGCCACCAAAAGGCAAAGAAGGAGTATGGGGTGAAAGGTCAGCTCCGTTCTTTACAAGGGCTGCAAGCAGTGGCTATATTAGCACAAGTGACAAGGTGTCCAGTTCTGACCTTGTGACCAACAGCCCCAGAAGGAGCTGGCCCAAACTAACTGGGATTGGTCTACGTGTAATAACAAGCAGGCCCCCAGAGCAGCCAAAGCCAGAATCAGTAAACCCAATGGTACCACTGCCTTCCACTGACAGCTACATGGGTCAATGTGGTACAGTGCCTCAAAAGCCACTGGAGCTGCAGGGTGCTGGTGCCAGGCCTTTGGACAGGGGGTGGGGTGGGGGCAACAGGGGAACCTTTTTGGTTTTGTATCCTCAGAAATAATAAAAGTAGTAAAAATACAGCCAGATGAAACTCCTTGCCAGTGGAAGCAGCAGGAAACTTCTAATACAGCAATGGGAAGAGCACCAGCAAAATAAAGTTGGCTGAAGCTAGCCGTTTTTCATGGTCAAAATTGTCCTTCTGTGCAGAACTGCTTTGGTACACCGGACTCTCCTTTCATACAAATTGCTAAGAAGAAAATAGATGGGCAGCTCTAGCGATGACTGGATGAGCTGTGTGATCCTTTTGTACTCTATGATTCTCTGAGTAAAAGAAAGAGAACAAGAGAGACTGTGCCTTCAGGATCTTAGTGGCTTCATTCACATACCTTTAACTCAGTTACCAAATTAACCCAGCCTCAGAATTTTTCCAGTAAATTGAGCTATGAACCAAACAAATTAATTGAGTTCACACCACGCTGTTGAGCCACAAGGAAGCTATCCAAGCAGAGCATCTTGGGCATCTGCCTCTGCGTAGTCTTTACACAGTCTGGGTTACTGTATCCCAGTGACCAACAAGGGCAATAGAGAAATAATATGTATTTCTACTGAACGTCTGTGTGTGTTTGCACATGCACTTGTTTGTGAAGCCTGTTACATATCAAGATTTCCTTGCTACTTTCTTGGCACAAGATTTGTGCAAGCCACCACAGTTTTTGACTTCCGGGAAGGCTGGGTCAGCAGCACACATATGAGTGTGCTGAGGAATGTTTTCTCAGAATTTACAGTATATTATTGTCTTGTTCAGATTTTTCTCAAGAAATTCAATGCATCTCACTGCCAAAGCACTGCTTTGTAGTTTTTCCTCCCCTGAGCTGATATGTGACTGTGTTTTCTGTAATTTCAGTGCCGATTTTTTACTTGGGACTAGCAAGTGACTTGATTGGAGGAGGGGTGATCTGCAAGGCAGATGGTATCTGGGCTGGAAAAGCTTTAACCTCTCTGTCCTGCTTTTGCATTTTCTGGTTGCCTCGCCACTGTGATCATCCTGTCCCTTCCCTTGC